CCCTCGTCCAATTTTCTCCAAGCATTTAATCCTATGACCCTGACCTTTTCTGTATATGGGGCTAGAATGCCCAACTGTTGCTCCCCTGTGGCATAACGGTCACTTGAACCAGTCAACATCCCAAAAGTAATGGGATCGGTGGATTGGCACTTGCATTCCTCTCAGCTGTATCCTTCATTCCTCCTTAAAGAGGGCACACCATTTAATATATATAGGGCTAGGAAGGACTGCTTTGGCGAGGTCCAGCCAATCCTTTGTATTACTGCTGATGAGCCAAGCCTTGGAGGAGAGTATCTACCCAGGGTGATCCCGGGCCATCCTCAGCCACTGCCTTTTTTAATTCCTTTAAATCCTTCACCTCCCAGGGATACCAGGGGTCAGGGTGAGCTCTTCCTGGGTTTACATTAATAGGATACACTTCCACCTGTGTCCTCACAGAAGCCTCCTGAGCGGGGCCAGAATCCTGAAAATGGGGATGGTTTTCATGGGTTTCAGGAAGACCTGAAGCTGGCCAGGGCACGCTCGAGGTTCTGCTTGTTACTTTGGCCACTTTTGGTTCCACTTCTGTTGCATTTCTGCATTCTTCCTCAAACTCTTCCTATGATTCCCATGCCGGGGTTCCTGAAGGCTCGTCAGGAGGTGGCACTGAGGGCTTAGGGATCTCGGACCAAAAACATTCCTTTAAGGCTAAAATAATAGGGTAAAACTCCAGCGGTGGATCAACCCCCAATTGAACCTCCCTTTGTTGGGCTAGACGTTCCACATATTCCCATGTATCCCCAGTAAAAACATTAGCCCCAAGTAGTCAGAGAGCCAAATGAATCACCTCTGCCCAAGCCTTTTGAGCTATGGGATCTGACAAATCCAATCCCCTGCTTTTAAGCATATCTCTCAGTGCTTTAAGCACCGGGTCTTCAAACTTAAAATTTGCATTACACATATTTATGGTCTTGCCTACCCCGAACCTCTCGATTGGCCCCAATCCGTTTCCCTTCTTTCTTCTTTCTTTTCTTCTTTTCACCTTCCTTTGAGCGACACGTTGAGTGCCAGTTGCTGGGGGTTTGAATCAGCGACCCCCGGGGAGGTGATGATTGGGGATGAGTAAGCACGCTGTTCACCAGCCCATGCTGCCCCCATTACCCTGCAACACTCAGATGCAATGGGGAGTCTAGTCAAGCAAGGGCTCATTTATTTCAGGTGTTACAAAACTTATAAAGGCACCTGGAACTCCCCCCCGCCCCCCAAGGGTGTAATTTAAGGATGGTCACGCGCTGATCATGCACTCCTCAGCAGTGCGGAAGTATTCTTTAGACTTTCAAAGCAAGCCAGGCTGCGCCCCCAGTAACTTCCTTTCAGACCTATGCAAGGTGGGGCCTTTAGGTTCCCACAAATACTAGGAGAAAATAATCAGAAAATGGGAGAACTAAGAACTGTTTTGTTTCAAAATAGAGTTATTATAGACTATTTACTGTTTAAAAATCACATGGGATGTAAACCATTCTAGGAATATGTTGTTTTAATTTGCCTGAATTTTCACATACTATAGACCAACAGATTGATGATTTACAAAAGGAAATTGATGTCTGAATTTTCTATACCTTGGCCAAAATGGCTCCAATGGCTTACTCCATTCTTGGGCCCAATATTGATTGGCATACTTCTTCTTATGGGAGCTCCAATAATTATGTGCTGTATTAAAAATTTGATTAAATAATACTGTGGCCTCTGTGACCACTTCCATCTTCTTTTAAAAACAAAAAGGGAGGAGATGTAGGAAACCAGGATGCTAGACCCTAGGGTGAGATGAGCCTAAAACCTTTAAGTCCAGGCTGCATTCCATGCTAAAGGGAGAGGTGCTGAAAACAGTGGCTCTGATAATCCCTGTCTTGCAGAACACTGTGAGACTGCCAGAAGAAAGCACCCTGGTCACAAGTGCAGGCTCCCTGCTCTGTGGGAAAGAATCTTGGTCAACAACCCTTAGCTCATCTCCTTGTGCTGAACAAATAACTCAGCTATTCTTAGCTAAGAGATTAGGCCAGGTTAAAGGTTTATTCCTGAGTTAAAAGCTAAAAGTTCACCATGCTTTTAACTCTAAGAAAGGAAACAGGTCCCAGGGTCAAAGACTCTGTCGCCAATCAAGTCTCTCTGCCCCGAAACCAGTAGGTCCCCTGCTGAGCAATGCAAACCCAAGTCCTGACACTCTCATATTTGGAAAATGGGCTGATAACTTTCATATCTCATGAAGTAATTAGTCAATCACATTGTGGAGACCAATGTGTGTGTTCTCTCATCAGACATGGGCTATAAATCCCTTCCCCCAGTAATAATTTCCTGTTAACTAATCTTTAGAATACCTAGTGTTCTTTTGACAGGGGTTTTTGTGTTGTGGACACAGACGTGTCTTGACTCTTGCAGTTTTCTGTTACCATCAGTTGATCTGCGAGGAGCCACCTCCAATTTGTGGCCAGGGAGAAGGACTATGGACTTTCACTTTAAATGTACCCTACCACACAAGATCCTCCCTGTAGTCCTCTGGCTGTGCAGTGTTCCTGGTGAGTGGGAACTTGTCCTAGATCCAGTCAGGCATGACAGGGATGGCTTGCCATGTTGACGACAGCCCGCAGGTGTTGAACAAAGATAACACACGAACAGGATGATCAGCACAGCCCCAGTTCACACTCAGCAAAAGTTTCTGTTTGCTAACCACACAGCCTCTCCTTACCCTAGCAAGGCAGGGGTGAGGGTAACAGAATTTCTCAGATATATTTCCTGGTTTAACACAGCCCTCACAGAGGTCCAATGAACCACTTTATGCACTAACATCTTCATCAAAAGTTGTTTGAGTTACAGTCACCCCGGTGTGTACAGGTCTCTGGAACTCAATCTACTTGTGTAGCTGCTGTGTGTACCCTGTGACCAGTACCTCTCCATGTCATAAGGTTCCCTTCAGAGAGCAGCTCTGCTTCATAGAGTTGAAAATTGCAAGGAAGATGCGTGTTAAATGTTCTTTATATGAGAAAAAAATGAAGGAGGAAAATGATAATTGTGATGAATGTGGATATGTTAATTATGTTAGTGGATGAAGGGAGGAGCCCAGAATTTTCCTCTCTATTATCAGCCATCTGGAAGAGGGTATTCAACTAACTTCAAGCTCCTCAGGGCTCTGAGAATAGACAACTCCAGGCTCAAAGTGTAAAGTCAGGAGGATGGTGACCCAGACTCTGAGGTGAGAATGAGGGCAAGTGCCCTGGGGAGAGGCGGTCAGGACATTTCTCAAAGGACAGGAGTCCACAGAAACATCCACATGTGTACCCCTTTTCCCCCAAAGACTCTGCAGGAGCCAGGTCCAGCCCAGGAAAACCTGGGGGCAAATCTTGGCATCTGCCCCAAGTGAATCCAGTTTCTCCCTGAAGTAGATGGATGGAATCTGCCCATTTTATCTTGCTCTTACTTGAGAGTAGGCTATTCAAAAATACAGTACTGTTCTGTACAAAAAACGTCACATTACATTTAAAGATGGAAAAAGGTTTGGTCTCCATGGTAAATAAATCTCAGTCCAATACTTTCTATTATGCACAATACCCTGACTTCAGTTGAAAGTGATCCAAATCCAAGCATGTCCATATAATCAACAGTCAACAACTATGTTATAAAACAAAACGTTTTCCACAATAATAAGAAAGATAGTTCATATTTCTGAAACCACATAAAGATAAAAAAAATTTTAACAGCTCTTTTGATTTGGAGAAATAAATTTACATTATGCAACACTATATTGCCAGGTTAAAGAGGGTTGAGATGTAAATGTACATTAAAATGAAATGTTTCCCAAATGGACAAAACAAATTCCATTTACAGAATGAAGATTTACAAATGTACACCTGTACAGCCAAGGAGAGTGTCAGTACTAAACTAGCAAGGCTTGTAAGTTTACACTTTGAAAGTGTTTGAATTTTTAGGACTGTGGGCCTTTTAAAGTTGTACTGTTTTATAGTGTAATATGAATATTAACGTGAGATCTTGGGGCTAAGAAATGGAAAGGTGGTGGGTGAAAGTTGACAACGGGTGGATTGTGCTGGGGAGCTTCAGCTGTGAGCTTGACACAGCTAGTTGGAGGGAAAGTTAATTGATAAATTTCCCTTTGGATTGGCCTTTGGCCCTGTCTGTGGGAAATTTTCTTGATTATCCAGTGATAGGGGCAGGGCCCAGGCCACTATGGGCAGTGCCACACCTGGGCAGGTGATCCTGTGTTATATAAGAAAGCAGGCTGAGCACAGGCAAGGGGAGCAAACTAGTAAGCAGAGTACCTCCACAGTCTGTGCTCCAGGTTCCTTCCAAGAATTGCTGCCTTGGCTTCCCTTGATGATGGACTCTGCACTTTAAACCAAATAACCATTCTCTCAAAGTCGGTTTTGGTCAATGTTTTATCACAGCAATAGAAAACTAACTAGGACAATGCCCAAGTTTAAAGCCCCAACTCTGACATTTTTGCTCCTGAAATACTTTCCACTGAAGGACACCAGAGCATCACATCCTTTTCTGATTACCCATTGGATTCTGGGAAGACGTATCAATGTACTCCCTAGCTCTCTAACACATCCCTTCAGATTTTATGGACCCCTAATCTTCTGTCCACATGTAAGAGAGGGAGTAGCTCATAACTATATAGGAGGGAAATGTGTGTGTGTGTGTGTGTGTGTGTGTGTGTGCGTGTGCACGTATCTGCATGTTTCTCCATAGGCAAACATTCAAGTCTGCATGTCTCTCCATTAGTGCCAGTGTATGTATGTCCAATGGTGTGGTCCCCACACTATTTGTCCTGAATGTCTTTATGTTCTCATGGGTGATTCTGTGTCTTTATGCTGTGTGTGACTTTGATGGAACCTATGTGCTTACTACCATGAATGTGCCTGCCAAAGATTCTGTCATTCAAAGGTGTCAACTTGTGCTGACTCTAGAGTACATGGGGAACACTCTCTAAAAATATGGAATGCTTCAAGACTTTGGACTACACACTTGCTCAGGAACCATGCTAATCTTCTTTGTACTGTTCCAATTTTATTATATGCATTGCCGAAGCAAGCATATTCACGTTGATTTTTACACTTATAATACAGATATGTATGAAAATCATCAAACTGCATAACTCTAAATATATTGTTACTTATCAACAAGTCTAGTATTTGATTTGCATTTGAATTTTCTTCTTTACACATTCATACTTGTGGGTGACTGAGGAAGAGGCGGTGAGTTGAAGAATACTTGCCTAACATGCCTGAGGTTCTAATTTTAAAGCCACAAAATCATCTGATGGTGGGCATCTGCCACAAGCAAGGGTTTTCTCAGATCCCAGTGATGGGCTGTGTTTCTCCTTAGTGTATATCACTGTGTCCAATTAGAAGGACTAAATCTTGTGAGAGTGTCTTTGCATTTTCATATCTGTGACTGACCCAGAAAAACGAATGCTCACAGACTTTTTTTTCCAGTGGTGTCTCACTGGCCTGTAATTTGCCAAGTTGTCTAGGCTGGCTGACCAGTGAGCTCTTTTTATCTCATTGTTTCATCTGACAAATTAACAGATTAATCATGTTATATAGCCATCTATCATTGGTCTGTGCATCATCTGTTCATTTATCCCTCCATCCATCATCCACTATCCTTCCATTGACTTACTCATCCATCTTCCATCCATCCTTCCATTCATTCACCTACCCATCTTCCATCCACCCTCCATTTATTCAGTCATACATTGTCCTTCCATCCTTCCATTTATTCAGCCATCCATCTTCCATCCATCCTTGCATTCGTCACCCATCCATCATCCACCCACCCTCCCATTTATTCAGTCTTCCATCATCTTTGCATCTTTCACAGAATATTCATTAATCCATGTTAATTTACATAGTTTTTCAAACAGTGTTCAAAGTCGAGTATGAGTGTCAACTTTCAAATAATATACAAGGAAATGTGTGACAATGTGTAACAAAATAATATACAAGGAAATGTGTAACAATCTTTTATTCTGTGGAAAATTATTCTAGGCGAAGAACTTAAAAAATCAAATAATCACCCAATGGTGTTCGATCAGCTCTCCTTGGGTTTTGGCCTCATTCTGTTGCCTAAAAGTGGCTGACTAACTAGGGATGCTTTGCCCCCCTGGAGAGCACACAATTAACCTGTCTGGGTCCATTCCATCACTCCTATAACATACCAAAAAAGAGAACCTGAAGCCCAGACCAATGAACTAGTCATACCCAATCACAGAACAACCATGCTACATCAACGATTTTTCACACAATCAAAGTTCAACTCGACAAATGCAGGCCTGAGTTTCATAACAGACACAAGAACAACAAAGGAAATCCACACCCAGGCCACAAGGAAAAATACAAATAATATGAAAACCCCAAATAATATGTCCCCACTAACTCCACTGATCCTACAGAGGTGTTCTATGATGAGAAGCACCTAGGGTAACCCTGGGACATGGAATTTAAAAGAACAATCATAAACACAATCCAAGAATTTAATGAATTTAAAGATAAAAATATATGGCTGAATAAAATAGCAAAGGCAAAAAAGCAAACTGAGCTGAAAAGCAAACTCCCGAGAGAGACAGAAATATTGAATAAAACGCAAGCCAAAATGAAGATGGAACTGAAAAACTCTATAAGACAATTTGAAATGTAGGAGAAAGCCTCACAAGCAGAATGAATGAAATGGAAAAGAATATCAAAGACTCAGATCCTTAGTACCTGAGAGTGGATGTAAAGTCATCAGGTGGATTTCACTGGTAATGTTTGTCAGCTCCGCTATTTAACATGAAGTGAATTTAAAAAAAATTTACAACTACATGACTAGAAGAAGCATTTCATTACAGCTTTAACATATTCAGTAACACACTCCAGAGAAAGAGTACATCTCTTTCACAAGTGGCTGTAAATTTCTAGGTTCACAGTTGAATTAATACAGTTATACAGTATTGAACTCAGTAAGCCCTGTAAGACTTAAAATTGAATGAGTTTTCAACTTTTAAAAAGATCTCCATTTCATTTTAGAATATATTTTTCCTTGCAGAAAGACTCATTGTTTTTGCTGCTAGCACTGAGATGTTGTCACACGCATCTCTGGTCTGTATGTATCTGATTATTGCTAGTCATGATCGGTTGCACTTGGATCCTTGGTGACTGTGTATGTCTATGAAGTCAACAGGTAGATTGCAACAGTAATGTTTGTCACTTCTGCTGGTTGGCATGGTGTAGATTTCTATGCTTCCTCCTCAAAAGTAATACATTAAAAAAAGAATATCAAGGCTGGATGATAAAATTAAAGAATGCCAGTAAATTACCACTCTAGTAAAGATTAAGAAAAAAATTTAAAAAACATAGGAATGGAATATGCAGGAAATATGGGACACCATAAAGACACCGTAATTCTGCACCATAGCAACAGAGGAAGGAGAAAAATTCTAGGTCAGTGTCAATAACCAGATCTTCAACAGAATTATAGAAGAAACTTTCCCTAAATTAATGAAAGACAAACCCATGCAGATAAAAGCAACACACAGAACACCAGATAGACAGGAGAAGAAGAGAACTCCCAAGGGATATCATAGGAAAAACACTCAATGCCCAGAACAAAGAGCAAAAACTGAAAGCTGAAAGATAAACAAGTCACATACAAAGGACAACCCATTGGAATTACCGTGGACCTATCAATGCAAACTGTTAAACCCAGAAGAGCTTGGAGCAATGTATTCCAAATTCTAAATGATGATAGATGCCAACCCAGAATACTTTACCCAGTAAATCTATCGTAGTCCAGGCATAGCAGGGTTGGGTGGAGCTGCTCTGTGAGCAGGTTGGAAGGTAGGTTAGGGTGGGATTTTACCAGTTTGGGGTGAACAGAGTTCAGATGGTAGGGGGGAGGGAGTTCTCAGGGACTGAATTTCAAGCTCCAAGTCTGGGGCAGGGGAGAATGTCAGAGACCCAGGTTGGGATTGACTCACTGCAAGATGAGGTGTGTGCTGATCCAGGATGGGACAGGATCCCTGTGAACCAGGGAACTTTGAGAGGTAAGATGGTAGGATGATAGGGAGAGACAGGTAAAGAGATCCAAGCCACAAATCTTGGCGGTGGGGGGGTGGTACCTCTGGAGACTCTCTCTGAGTTGATTATAGACAAGTCTTTTGCTTTATTTGTAAAATGTAGAAACATTAGTTATCTCTACAGCAGATACAAGTGATTCCCAGAATCTGGGAGGCAGGTGAGGTCTGCAAATGACTGTCCACCTAGGGTGTGCCTGTCCCTGGGGTGATCCTCCATATTGGTATGGGGTCAGAGCCTACCGGGAATGGGGGACACCAGGGCATGTGCTCACTGGACTCATCTTGGGCTTCTCTGATGGTTGTCATGAGGCACAGCTGTCACTCTCTTGATATCATGAGGTTCTTCTAAGCCTGTTTCTGTGTCGTCATGCACAGTTGGGCATAAGTCACATCCTGGGGACCCACAAGTGCAGAACCCTGGAGTGGAAGAGGGTGAGAGGAAGATGGGTGCCTGGTGTTGGTAGCCTGGGGCCTGAGGAAGACATGACCCACCTCACTGTCCATCTTTGTCTTCCCTTGAACTGAGTAACTTCCTTGACAAGGTGGAAGGAGAGGTGTCCCCTGCCTTCCTGAGCCTGGAGGGTTTCAGCTGTGCATACATCTCTTTCAGGGGGTCTTCATCAGGGTGGTTCTGCAGCAGGGAGACAGTGAGATGGAGACTGTGTCTCCTGGTTTTCCTGGGGTCTACTCCAGTCAGAGTTCTACAGAGTGACCAGTGATTCTTTAGACTGTCAATAAGACTATGGCATTCTTATCTGGTCTTCATGGGCTTTCTGAGTACGTGGGTTCTCTGACAGCTTTGTTCCTCCATGTCTGACCTCATTTTCTGATGCCCTCACTTTCATGGTTTCAGTGACTCAACATATTTTTGTGAGAGAACATGCTCCTTCCCCAGGACCCATGTTCCTGCTGTGTCTCCTGCCTGCAGGTGCTGTCTGTTAGATGTTTGTCTGTGCCTCTGATTTGAGGTTTGTAGTCAGAACACACCTGTTAGATTCCCCCTCCCCTTTTATTTCACACTGGCCCTGTATGCCCCACACTCCTTCTCCGATTTATTTGCCTAAAACACTGTATTCTTCACACCCTGCACTGCTCCTACCTGGAGCCTGGTCAAGAGGGATCTCCAGGGTCTAGGGAGATGCCTCGGCCAGTGAAGTGCTTGCTATACAAGATAAGGATGGAAGTATGATCCCCATCACCCTGCCATGTTATATTTAGAAAAGGCCACACAAGCCTGTGGTCACAACTCTGGAGAGAATGGGACAGGAGCACCCTCATATTCTTGACCATCTAGTCTAACCACATCAATGAGTTCCAGGTTCAGAGGTCCAGATAAATCTGGACTGAAAAAAAAGGTGGAGAGCAATTTAGGATGTCACCCTGCTCTCCACAAAGGTGCATATACACAAATACGTATGTAAAAGAAAAATCGAGAGAGGGAGTCACTGGGAGATGAGTGGAGGGGGCACAGGTGCACGAGGTCTTATTTACCAATAGGTGTCCTATTGGTCCTTTTATCAGGGCTGGAAATCAAACCCAATGCCTCATCCATGGTAGATACTGTACCACTGAGCTGTAGCTCAACCCCTCAGGTGTCTTTGGGAACATGGTAATAGCCAGAGAGATGCTGAAGAGACACAGAAGAGGCAGAGAAGGGCTACATGTTCCCAGAAAACCAAGAAAGAGTGAAGTCCTAGCAGAGAGTGGCAGATGCTTCCGGAAGGAAGGGATCAACTGTGCATGTGACTGAGGGCTGAGACCAAATTCGGCCAGAAGCTGCTCAGCACTGTCAGCTGGAACACGGTCTCACCAGACTGTCCAGTTCCACTCTGTCCTTAGGCTGTGTGATCCTCACAGAAGCATCTGTTGTGGAAGAACAAGGTGGACGCCTCTTGGATAGAGTCCTGGGATCTCTCAGTTCCTTAGATCCCTGTGTTCCCACATGGGGACAGAGCTAAGAATTGTGGTGATGCCCCAAGGAGCATAGTGAGGGCTCAGTCCCATGGAGCACTGACTACAGACCCCCCCATCAGCTCTATGATGCCAAGACCTCAGGTACCCCCTTCCCTGGGGCCCTCTTTTCTCACACAGGATGTCTTCTTTGATGGCAGCAGCTGGACAGGATCTGGAGAAACAAAGAAGTGTCATTTGGCAGTGAGAGATGGGAGTCAGGTGGGAATCTGGTGACTGGACATTAGTTACCTCTTCTGAGGACCTCTATGCCTGGACACTGGCTCCTCAGCTTCTGCAGGTGGATGTGCAACACTGATTTTCCTCTGGGCTGCAGGAGAGAGAAGATCCTCAGCCAGGAGTGTGGGAAGTTCCTCCCCTCCCCAGTACCTGAAGGCAGGAAGGAAGCTTTACCCCCTTTGGGGCAAGTGTGCAAATATTCCAGGAGATGAAAGCTCACAGAATCCCTGATATTTGCTCATGTACAGAGATCACGTGTGTCTGATCTGGGAATATTCAGAAGTGCTTCTGGGAAGACTTGCCCAAATCTGGCTGGTTTCCCTGGAGCTGCTCCCTTGAGTCCCTGTTTGGATGATCCACAGGGGAGCCCGTCACCTCCTGAAATCCAGGTTACCCACATTTTACTCACTGTCTTTCTTGTGCTTCCCCTGACACCTACACCACAGGAAGATGAAGATGAGGAGAAACAGCAGCAGGAGGAAGGCCAGCGAGATGACAATCAGAACCTTGTGGCAACTTTCCCGTCCTGTGGCACAAGTGACTGTGAGTGAGAACAGTACTGCTGACCTGAGCACCTACTGTGTGCCAGGCCCCAGCTGTGTCTCTGCATTCACCACCTCCTACCCTTACAATCTTGAAACAATACGTCATCTAAGCATTCCAACCACCCCAGCCAGTTCACCTGGCCTAGGGCCTGCAGCTGGAAAACTAAGGGCTGTGGTGAACCCAGGAAATCTGAGTTTTAGTCACATTCTCTCCACCAGAGCTGAGTTCCAGGAGCTGGACAGGAGCCCGAATGCCCTGCACAGGCCCTGTTATCCACCCGTGCACAATGTAACATGACTGGCAGAGAGTGTTTCCCCTTCAAGTTGTGGAGGCCTCCCCTGGCAGGAGAGGTCACAGGCAAGGTCAGCTCTAAAAGGGACTCTGAGGTCAGGTTCAAGCCATTTTCACGTGGAGAAACTGAGTCCCACACAAGGGAGGGATTTGTTCAATCCAGCATCTCCAGAAGAGGTCACACCGGCCCCATAACTACCTCTGGTCCCCCTGAATCCACCTTTCTATAGTCCCCATTTAACATTCTGGTGACTTGACTCCATGGAGGTGAGTGACTGGCTCTCAGGGCCTCATGGTGGGTTTGGAAGGTGGAAGTCAGGACTCCCCACTCTCCACCTCAGTCCAGCTGCTCCTCCCCCAGCCTGGGACCAAACACCTGTCTTTGCTTCTTTGTTCCCTCTTGCATCCCAGTCCCTAAGGCTGCTGGGATCTATGTTTGGTCTCTGATCTCTGGGCTCCTGGACACACACTTAGCTGACAAAGGAACCAGGACTTAGATGGGGTGAGAGTCTGCAGGCAGCTCAGCAATGGCACAAACTGAGGACAGAAGCCCCTGACACTCACCAGCTATTGGGATGGGACCATTGTTTGAAGTGCTATTTCCCACAAAGGATCCTAGGAAAGAGAACAAGAGGAAGGTTAGGGGCAGAAACTGACCATGGAGTGGTAGCTGCTGTTCGCTGTCCCACATCTGCCCTGTGGCCTCTTGGAGAACCTTCTGCTTCCCAAATGGAACTTTCTAGATTCCACTAATTGATATGGGATAGATATTCCCTGAGGGCCTCCCATTGGTCTCTGCAGCTCTGAGGGGTGAGCCTCTTGCCTGAGATGTCCTATGACTTTTAATCTCATCCTAGCCAAGGCCTCTCCTGGGGAAAGGATCCTTAGTTACCCTTTGAGCTCATGAGGTCAGGGTCCTCTAACATGACACCCCAGTCTTCACAGGGGTACTGGGGTCTGACAACAGCTAGGGGCACGAGCCGTGAGAACCCTAGCGCCTCTAGGTCCCACCGAAGTTTGAGGTCACAGCTCTTCCGGAGAATCTTGCCCAGTATGTCCCAGCTTGGGACTTCGACCTGAGATGTAGTGGGGGATTTGCTGTCCATTCCATGATCTGAAATAACATCTTCATCTGGTTCCATGTCAGATGCAGCAGGGGACATTACTTACTTGAAGAAACTGTGGGCCCAGTTGTCACTGAGAGAGAAGTTGTGACAGGGAGCTGTCCTAGAGAGAAGAGGGATGGGTGAGGGACCACACTATTTCTTCTGAGCTGAGACGTTACTAAATCCTGACTCTGAGAACCTGGGACTGTTTCTGGTTTCTCTGATTCTGTACCTACACTGTTCCTCTGTCTTTCCTTACACCACCAACTTCATCCCAGAAACCAATCCCTGGGATTCCCCTGTTGGCCCTGTGGAGTTTGTGCTTACTGACTGGACCTACTCTGCTCCTGACCTGTGATTGGTATGTCCAGAGTTCACTGGGGGTTGACCAGTCAGAGGAGAGGCAGAAGTTACCATAGCCCATGCACCAGCTTCCAATACAGTCCCTCATGGGCCCAGTGGAAACCTGGCCTAAAGGAGACCAGTCAAAAGATTCTGGGAGAAGCCAGTTTCCTCCTCTTTGACCAGGGCAAATCTGCTGTGGCTGATGACTGGGCAACAATGGAAAATCAGAATTTCTCTGTGGTCTGGGAGAGGTTCTGGATGGGTCAGTGGCAAGGCCTTCTTGGACAGCCCTGCAGGGAAGATGGACTGGTGGATCAGGAACTTGCCCCTGTCATACATCTGCTCCTCCCATTCTGCCCTTCAAGTGTCATTGTGCTTCTTTCTGTAGGACTCTGGCTCAGGAGCTAAAAGGTCCCTTCAGCCAGCCTCCTACATGGGATTCCTGGAGAGTAGTGAGATTCATAACAAAGGTCTTTGTGGGGGGGTCTCAAAAATGATTCCAGGAATGATGAAGCTTCCTGACCTGAGATGTGTATTTCCAGGGGATCGCTGGGTTCTGACCACACCTGTGGCTTTCTCTTGTAACAGCCATAACAGCTGAAGGTTCTCCTGCTGCTGGGGGTCACAGATTCCTCTGAAAAAGGATTCCAGGAATGATGAAACTTCCTCACCTGAGATGAGTATTTCAAGGGGATTGCTGGATTCTGAACACACTTGTGGCTTTCTCTTGTAACAGCCATAACATCTGAAGGTTCTCCTGCTGTTTGGGGTCACAGGGCCCACAGGGAACAGAGCCTGAAACTGACCCGTTGATAAGTGTTGTGAGTCCAGGGTCCTGTAGAGCTTCTGTTCTCCTTTGTTGGTCAGAATGAACCTGTCATATCCATGTTGTGAAACACACTGGAGGGTCACATTCATTCCTGAGGTCACCACAGGGCTGGGCAGGGCTGACATGATGGGTTTACTGTTGTAGATGGCTAGGATGGAAGGAACCAATGTGTTAAATGGACTCATACAGCCCACATTGTTCCCCAGGGCTGTGATGAAAGTGAACCATTGAGATCAGATCCCTTTTCCTGAAGGCAGAGGCTAGAGATGGGGAGCCATAAGTTTCCCCTCACCTGTTACCACCAGCTCCAGGGTGTCACTGCCCTGAGACCAGCCAGCAGGACTGTCATAGTAACAACAATATCGCCCTGCATGTTGCTCTGCCATGGACTGAATGGAGAACTCGGCCTTGTTCCTTGGTTCCAGTGGGGTCTGTATTTTCCAAGGTGCTGGGTCTCCCTCTTTATGAAGAATATATTTTTGGGCATCCAGGGTCCCCTGACACCAAATGGTCACAGGAGTCTCTGAGGTGACCACAGAACCTGGCTCAGCCCAGATGGTGGGTTTTCGGGTGGTCCCTGTAGAGAAGTAGGTGCGTCTGTTTAAACAGTGGGACAGTAAAGATCAAACATAGAGATGGCACTTCAACTGGCCCCTGAACAGCTCTAGGACCAGTGAAGCCATGTGACTCCCATCCCTCTCCTTGACCTCTCCTTGACTTCCATATTTCACTCTGGCTCTCTGCCTAGGCCTCTGTAAATCAGATCCAGTGTCTCCCTCACTCTCTATCACAGAGCTCAGGAGCCCTGGATCCCCTCACCCATCATAACCCAGGGCCTCCCTTGGGAACCTGCATATGTGCAGTTTCACTGATGGGAGTGGATTGCATACCTGAGAACACCAGCTCCAGGGGGTCACTGGGTTTTGACCACATGTGTGGGTTCCTCATGTAATAGCCAAAGCACCTGAGCCTCCACCTCTGGCTGGTGAACACAGGGCCCACAGAGAACAGGGCCTGGTACTTTCCAGTGTATATATATTGTGGGGTCAAGGTCCAGGAGCGTTCCTGTGGTCCTTCCTTCTTTAGCACCAATTTGTCATATCGGTATCTTGAGACACACTGGAGGACC